TTGTAACATTTTTTTTTTTTTTTTAATAATAATAACAATGAAATTCCTAAACTTTGAAAGTTAATAAATCTTGACGAAGAAGATGCGTGGGAACTTCTTTACGGAATACTTTTTGGCATTTTCAATGGACTTGGTCCCGCTGGTAAAACTTTTTATTCAGGAGATACCTAATATAGTACTATTGCAAACAATTAAATTAATAGGCAAACAACAACGACATTTCATTTAGACTTATGAGATACTACTTTTACAATTATTTTTTGAATTATAAAATTTTCCCGGGTGAATTAAATTAACAATTTTGTAAAAGATAATCCTTGCACACTGGCGCTTTAAATGTGTATGCAACTTTCATTCTCTACGCCTTGCATGCTCGGTAGTCTATACTCAGATGGACATTTCAATAAATTTTGAATGCCAATGTTTGGTGTGCTATTTAATTTTTTTTTCAATCTAATCTAATTGTGTGATAATAACAGAAAGTAATATAAAAATAACATAAATTAAAGCACATTTTTAGTTTTATGTTTTCTTTTTACAATTAATTTTTTTTTCCTTAATTTTCCGTAGTACTACTAACTAATATACTTAATACTGCAATTAAGGGGATGCTTAAAAGAGTTAAAACGTTTCAGTTTAATTTGCATCACCATAATAGACTTATCATAAAAAAAGCGTAGAAGTACGAAGCCAATCGTTCTGAATTAATCTTGTTGTTTAAATAATACTGTGGTTATTTACCCTAGTTAGTTACCATTTTAATTTTAGAACTTGATATTTCAGTGTCGATATTTTTTGTATTGTCTTTGTCGCAAGCAGTAGAATTATTTTTGTCGTTAAAGTAATTCCGGTAAGATCCGCAAATTGCACATAAAAATTCGAATGTACTCTTAATGTTCGTGTAATTCAATAGAATACTTGAAGTTGATGCAAATGTTACGCCCACAGTCGGCTTTTCTAAGAATACAAACTTTACTATTGAATCTTGATACTTGAGTAGATAATACATACATGTAATTCCTTTTGATAAGACATGCTATTTCACCAGAAAAACAAAGAAATTTTTTATTGCCTGATGTTTCTTCTGTTGAAATTACTATAAAATTTGGTAAAAATCTCGGTCGCTATTTTGAACAAAAATATACATATATTATAAATTGTTAATGAGAACTAATCGAACCAAACGTAATCTAACCTAATTCTAACGTAAGCTAATGCATTTAATGATTTGATAGCTGACGATTACAATGTTACGATAGGCAAAGACAGCACGAACGAAGTGTGTTTACAACAAAGTACACCTACAAGTAAAAATAAGAAAGTTTTACAGTAGCATACAGCTATGTGTTTTAGCGATTGTTTTTAACATATTTTGTTTAAAAATAATCGCTTTTAATTTCATCTTACCTAAAATGCGTCTCAATTAAAATCCTAATTAAAAATGACACCTCGGCTGTCGAAAGAATTCCTAGATTATGGGTTTGAGTATTTTATGTAATCTCTTAACCTTATTATATAACTACTAAATAATAACAGTATTAAACCACATTTATTTTGAAAACAATTGGGATTTTTTCTGATAAGTGCATGGTTACTTGCTAATTTTGTAAGAAATTATTCGTTACCTGAATATACATAGGGAATGTATTTTACATTTTAAATATATTCGAAGCATGTAATAGCTGTTATTATGTACCTAAAGTATAATTGACATTTTCTGTAGAACGAATACCAGTGATTGTTCTATTAATGGTATTTATGTAAATAATTGAGTACTTCGTTTATAGCGCTTTTTGTTTACTTTGCAAAACCTTTGAAACTGTATTTGAGATTTGAGATTCCGTATCTCCGTTTTTGTTTTGGAACCTAAAGCGAGTACGACGCGGTGACGTTATTACCAAAGCTGTACTGCTTAAAGGTCATGACAATTCAATTTTGTTATCATTTTTTGATAAAAATACAAGAAACGTCAGATAAAACAGTATTTAAACCGTTTTTGTCGTAGTAGTGAACATACTATAAACTATACCGTTTAATTCAAAATTCAAGTGGTGAATAAACAAACTTTAAAAGGGTTACTAACAATGGATGAATTACTTAAAAAGGTACTATTGTTATCTTATTTTTACTTTGTCTGGCATCACACACTGGCTTATCTACTTGCTTTCTCATACAATATCTTTCTTCTATTAGTAAACAATAAATTACGCTTAGCCATCTTTTCTTGGGGTGCTTCAAAAATTATTTTTTCGTACGCACAGGTTTAATACTAACTTGTAAATACTTAATATGAGAAGAACTCTCGTCCAAGCAGAGCTTCTAATATTGATATTTACTGATGGCTTATTGGACATTTCACTAGTTTTTCGTAAGAAAACCATGAAAAGAATACCTCACTATTGAAAAGACCATACAATTTTCTATCATAGATTTAGGATGAAGTTTTTTCGTTTATCAGTAGAACAAAATACAAAAGTGGCTTTTCCGAAAAAACAATATCGCTGTTCCATTTTCAGTAAAAAATCAGGGGAACAGTGTCAGGAGTTTTCTCCGTTTTCTTCGGTTTGACTTTATAAGTTTACTAGCGGAAGAAAAATGTATGGCATAATTCTTAATGTTTTATTGTAACATCTTTTTTTTTTTTTTTAATAATAATAACAATGAAATTCCTAAACTTTGAAAGTTAATAAATCTTGACGAAGAAGATGCGTGGGAACTTCTTTACGGAATACTTTTTGGCATTTTCAATGGACTTGGTCCCGCTGGTAAAACTTTTTATTCAGGAGATACCTAATATAGTACACTCTTCCATAATTTTCTTAAGAGAAAGTAAAAAGCCCAAGATCAGTAAATAACAATATTATTAGCTCCCCTGCGGTAAAAGCTCATTTCAACAACTAAAACAAAAAGGAAATCTTGATTTTTTCAATATTAATTTAGTAACGTATTTTAGTATTGCTTTTTGGATAACATTCATTGAGTTAATCGTGAAACTAGTTAAAGTTTTATGTCTGATATTTTCGTGTTTAAAGGGAGACAATTTCTCTTGATATATTATGTTTCTGTTTTCAACTTGCAGCTTGAGGGTAACAGTCCCTAAATATATTTTATTTTTTTAAAAAGTCCTGTTTGTGGCTGACACACCCACGCGAAATAAAAATAAATTTCCACTAAAAACTTTAATTACTGAGCATTTCCGGCTTGGTATCNGACAAAAGCGACAGCCTTGCCGTTTTGTCGACAAGATTAGCGACTGATTAATATAAAAAAGTAAACCGCTAGTTTAAATTTCATTATGAATATTCTCCTATGATACTTTTAATAGGTACTACTAAATGAACAAAGTTGTTCTTTAGAAATCGCTATTTTTGTGGCAAGCCTGCCCATTTGCTCTAAACTTAAAATTTCCACAATAACAAAAATGAGATAGGGACTTGAAGTTTAAATACTTACAATAGCATATAATATGTGAAGTTTTTGGGCCAAAAACTAAAATCAACAATACTATTTTCATTTATTGTTGTCAATCCGTAGGTACAATAATAACTATTTTACAAATAGAATTTTCAGCTTCATCGCAAAATGTATGTACACTATAGATAAGTACTTGATATCTACATATTACGTAGGATTATCACTATGACTTGAATAAATTTGACGTATATTAGGTAATATACCTAAATCTAAAGTAAAAAATTGCTTTTCAAACTAGGAAATGCAATACTTATCTATCTTTAATTGAAACGTTTTTTATAGATTCGAATAGAAGTTGTTGTTTAAATTATCTTTAAAAACAGTATTTATATTTATTACTTAAGATAGGAGATTTTACGTGATACCTGCTCGAATGTCAACAATTTACTCATTTAAAAGATTTTGAAAAGCAAAGTATCCCCTGTGAGTATGTCTATGGCAGCATTTTTTCAATTCAATAGAACTTTCTTTATCAACAAACAACAATAAAAGTGTAATACGTTAAAAAATATCCTTTAAATGTCCTTTCTGAATATAAAACTGCTCCAGCTGTATCTTTTAGCTTTCATAATTGATTATTTGTTTAAACATTTTGACAAAAGGTAGCACTAAAACTTGAAAAAAATATGTTATGTTATTAAACATTGAGGTATATTTCCTAATAATTTTTAATTTGTCTCATCGACGCGTAAAACTCTTTCGTTTTAATTACATAATTAGAGAAAAAAGATTACTAAATAAATTAGTTATAACATCCTATTTGTTAATTAAATAAAAAAGACAGTTACAATAAAATAAAATATTTAACATTATTTATTTATTTATTGCTATGGAAGCATAAATGTTCATTATTTTATGATGAAATTTATTGTTTTACAATTAGTTGTGTGATATCGTGTTCACTTTCATACGTTATTGCATTTGTCATGAATCGTATCGTTTTTTTCAATTGATCACAACATATCGTCTTTTAGCTTAAAAAAAGAAAACTTATTTGCCCAAGGAACCAAACGGAACAAGGTTACTCTCCGCGTTTGTTGTTCCTGTCTAAACAATAATTAACGAATTCAAGGTAATAAAGCTGGTTTAACTCTAATTGTTTTCGTATTTACAATAGAGTAATGTGTTTCCTTCTTATTATGTTTCCTTTACGATAAAATAGTTATCTATGAGTAGTAGTAGTAGTGCAGCAAGTACTAAACACCAGGGTAGCGTCTTCCGGGGCCATGAATAATAATATAATCGAAAGTAATCAAGTGTTTATAGAGTTTAGTTTTTAAATATCAGCAAACAACTACTCAAGTAAACATATGAAAGTATTCTATTGAAAATAACAGACAATATTTAGTGAATATAATTTTCTCGCAAACGAGACAAAAATAAGTATACTACGGGGTAACAATATTTAGCCTTAGGTCCTCTGTCGTTCTTTATCCTTAGGTTTGAGATTTTTCAATAATAAAATTGATTGCACACGAAATTTAACAAACACTTGCTAACTTGTCTTTTAATAATAATTTTTTCTAGGGGACGAAATTTTCATTTGAAAATGTACATTTTATTGACCAACAAATCCTAAACTCCGTATTCTGAGTAGCTAGATAGATGTTCCCCTTGTATATCTATCATTTATCTCCATTGTCCCAGAAATGTTGAACTTTCAGTAGCTATCTATTTTAATACCAACACTTATTTCGAAATCATCAACATTTACTTCAACCTATAGCCAAATCTGAGTTCTTTTCTACATGAAATTCGTCAATTTTTGATTAAAAATTTTTATATTGAAAATCAGTTATGCAAAAAATTAATTTATTTTAGTCTTCCTTTACAAGTGATTTGATTATCTTTCTGGGTCACTTATTTATTGTACAGTTTATTCGCATTTTATTACTCGATAAACTACCTAACCCAAAGTATAAAATGTTATATTTTCCCTTCGTAACAACAATTCCATAATTGGATATTGCAACGAAATTGATTAGCGGCCTTTGATAATAAGCAATCGTCATTTTACTTCACATGTGTGTCTGCTCAATCACGTAAAGAAAAGAACTTTACACTTTATATTTGCAATGATCGTTGTGGTTAAGCGTAATCATCATGCATGAACTTTATAATTTTCTATTGCAAAGTCCATATTAATCAATAAGAAACGGTGATGCTTCGACAATAATTATTAGAAATGAAAAATATCGATCTACATATCATAATAAGTGTATTTAATACTACTTGCATTTAAAATGCAAATACAAAATAAAACTACCTATTTATTTTTATCATGCATTTAAATACGTTTTTGAGAAAAGCATTTTGTATATCATTTAAAATACTTTTCCAAATGTATTTTCTATTTGTAAAATGCAAAATACATTTTTGCCTTTAAATTTATTTAATTGAAAAAAGTATTTTGAAAATACTGATTTAGCATTTCGTACTTAAAAAAAAAGGGAAATCTATTTTGTCATTTACATTTGCAATAACAAATCAATAAGGTATTTGCATTTCGTATTTGAATACTTTTAAAAAACCATTTTGCACATCTCTACATACATACAACCAATATTTCTATAGTCTAACCTAATTATAATAATATAAATTTTTTAAAATATAATACAAAGTGCAAGAAGTTTAAAAGGTTAGATAAATGAAAGTTTTGAGGTCTTAGGATAAGACGATCTGGGATGTTGTAAACTGACCTGCATGTAGATTCGATATGTCGGCATTATTATCGCAAGAAAACAATGAGGGGCAACAATCTGTACTCATACGAAACAAAAACCAACGCACATGATTTACAGCATCATAACAAGTCAGTGGGTTGGCACATTAATTTCAAATAAAAACATTTGGGTATCCGCATTTTCATTAAAGTAAACTCTGTTATCAACACTATTTTAGTTTTTGAATAAAATTATTGAGATAGTTTCGAACTCAAAAAAGGCGAAACCGACGAAACACAACAACGACCAAAAAATGTCTGATAGCAAACAATACGACAAAAGCGACAGCCTTGCCGTTTTGTCGACAAGATTAGCGACTGATTAATATAAAAAAGTAAACCGCTAGTTTAAATTTCATTATGAATATTCTCCTATGACCAGTATTCCCTTGATCTCTGTGGCTTATAAAACATGTTCAAGATCAGGTAAACCTGACAAGGAAGCAAAACGGTTAAAAAGATGTTAGGAATGTACAAATAATGTTTAGTTCTTTCCCCACATTGCTTGAAATTCTTTTCAGATATGCTCCATACTTTCCCTAAGACTGCAGTTGCCTTTTTTTAAGTTTCTTATTCGCTCTTCGTTTCCCTTATTCTTCTGTATGAACTAGCCTAGGTAGTTGTACATTTTTACTTCTTCAGTTTCTTTTCCTTCCCATGTAAATATTATCTTATTCGTTTTTCCGCCACTTTTGCCGGCTCTCATTATCTTCGATTTATCTGTGTTCCTCTCTAGGCCTCTTTCTGCGATGTATCTTTCCATTTTTCTCATCATTTCTGTCATCTCCTCTTCATTTTTCGCCATCAATAATCCGCGTAAAATACTGTCCATAATTTCTTCTTTCCCATAACTACTCCTCTCATTTGAATTTTCCTCATTGTATTTTCTAGATCCGTAAAAGTTAGGTTCAAAAAAGCTGTACACAAGGGACATCCTTGTCACCCCGTTAGTCGTGCTAATTTTTGCAGAAATTTATTCATTGATTCTCACTTTAAATGATGTTGCTTCATATATTTCTTCTATTCCTTTCCGTAACTTCATATTTATTCCTTTTTTTTCCATTGTACTCTTGTTGATCAAAAGTTTTCGTTCGACTAACGTTAATATTATAATTAAGCAACCGAAATAATTGGAACATAGCCCACCTGCCTGCACTAATATCTACTTTTGATAGAGACCGATAACGAATTTTTAAAAGCAATTACTGCAACGTAAATCGTTGGACTTTGCAACTTGAACTTTATCCTTTAATAGAAACAAATTGAGTTCATCTTTAAAAGTCTAGTAGGTACCTTCTCTTAAAAAATGCATTTTGTATTAAAGAGCACATTGTCTTTCAAACAACTGCATTCCCTTTTCACCTCGATAAATGCATATTTTTTTCAAAATTTTCGGTCAAGGTTGTACAGGTTTCTAAGGCGCAGGTTTCTTATTAAACAACTTGCGCAAATGAGCCAGATATACACGTGTTTAGAAATATACTATATTTATTGTCAATACTCAACGACTACTGTGTTCTATTTATTGTGCAAATAAAGTACGGATAACATATTATATAAATGGATTTGTTAAAGGTAGGTAAATAATGAATAATTTGTTTTACAGGCTATCATCATTGATTCGTTTATTGTGTCAATAGCTTTTGTGGTTTTCATATTTTGATTATACCATTAAATATTCATTCGCATTCTTTAATATTCAAAATATGCCCAAAATTAGTAGAGATAATTAGAGAAAAAATAGAAATATTTTCACGAAAACTTTTTGTTTCTCTTTATACAAAACAAAACCATAACATATGTTTCGCCAATTCATTGTTGAGTCGATTGTAGGTGGCTGAACATTTGATGAAGTCAACGTTTGGCGAAACATACGTACGTTATGATTACGAAACTAAACACAGTTTTAATTACAAATAGTTTATTTAACCAGCGACTACCTTGATTAATTCATCACACTGTTGATGTCACAATGTGGTAAATTGATCAAATAAATTGTTTATACCTATAAGCATATTATTTATAAGGAAAACTGTGCTTAAACTCGTATTTAAAACGGAGTTACAAGAATTAAAGTCTTCTTTGATTCAATATTTTGTGATTTTTGTTTTGTAACAAAATAAATAAATTTCTTTAGTGAAAATACTTAACACTAATTTGGGAGAGGGGGGGGGGTCCAGCTGTCTTAGGATTTATTTAAAACTGAATTGTTATTGGAAATTAAAAAAATATCTTTTTAATTGAAGTCCTAGAGTTGTACACGTACACAGCCCGTTACGTGAAAGGTGAAAGGGAGATCAAAAATTGATGAATTTTGCGTCACGTAGCCCCTAAATTGTTTCCCTATTTATTATTTTATGTCTTGAGACAATAAACATTATGTTTATGATTAACGTTTACAATAGGGGAGAACATGGAAAATATTTGAAAAAAGATCCTGTAAAATGAAATTCAAAGACAATTTACAGAAATCAAACGTTAAGGAAACACTAGAAAGTTTTTATAAAAAGTAATTTTTATAATATTGAAATAGTTAAAAGAATCTATTAATGCAATAAACAAGTCACAAACAGCTGGTCCTATCTCTAGCCGTTCTCAATAAACAAATTGTTGTAAGTGTTCAAAATCTAACAAATTCTTCATTTTTCAAAGATGGGACGCAAAACCGTTAATCGCCTTAGGTAATTTACAGCTAGAAAATTAAGCATTAACGTCCTTAAGATTATGATTCCATCCGCTACCGTATTCTAATAAATTGTTAATAGGTTTGCTCGTAACCTTCGACACGTCAGAAGTAAGCACGTTCATTACAATGAATTGCAAAAGCTATGACTACTTACTACAAAAGTTATTTTACAATAAGATACTACGTTAATAATATGGTGCTAGCAAGTACAGTTTAATTGTTGGAGTTACACAGTTGGTTTTCGTTTACCGACATTGAACAATCATTTATTTATTAATCAGAGAGGTGGAAAACTTATAAATGTTTATTTTACTATTTGCGCGATATACTTAAAACTGTGAATTCACTAATCAGTATTCAGTATCAGAGAGTATCACCGCGATGACGCGATATCACCTCAGCGATAATGGCTCTTTATTGGTAAGTCTACCAACAAACTGTACAAATATATAAATACACGTGTTTGTTTTGTATGTAAAATAATACTTAAAGAAATACTGAACCTGTGAAGATGATCAAAATATTAAGATAAGAAATAAAAGACTTTCACAAAATATTATCGTGTAGGTAGTGTATGAATTATTTTTTAACCGACATGTGCATATTGCTTGTGGCATACAGAAATTTTAACTTATTGTTAATACGTACATATTAATTTTATTTTACTATCATATCAATTGAATACTTTTATAGCAAGATTTTGAATTTTTTGAATACCTATTTCTTTTAATTAAAAAAGAAAAACTTGTGGGAAATTATTCTAAAAACTCATAAAACACTTCAACGGATTTTGGTCTTTTAAAGCACATTCTTAATCAGTCAAGTACTTTGTGCACCTTTTGTTCAAGATATATCTGTTTCTTTTCAAATTTAAGTGGAATATTAAGAAAGCTTTAAGTTATTAGTTCTCAATAGCTTAAAAATCGCCACATACTCATATTTGTGTCTGAATTGGATTTAATTTCATTTTTATTTGATACCTATTAGCATAACGATTAGAAAGGGGATTTGTCATATCTTCTAATATGAATGTGAATTTTGAAAACTCTAAAACATTTAGATAAATAAGATACTTGCAATTAAAATATTAGTATTATGTATATTATTTTAGGTAGTTTCTCGATTTTGCATTTCATTCGACTCATTCCTAGAAAACGTCAGACACAGTTTTAAATATGAACTATTCCATTAGAATATTTCAAAATTTATTAAACGCTATTGAATTTCTTTATTTTTTAGTCAATATTTCACAAAGTTCATATTTGGTAAACGTAAACCTAATGTGAAATGTAAAACGCTTTTTATAATGGAATATTTGTATACTAAAATTATCTATTTCTTATCAATGTTAAGCGGCATTAAATTTCTAAATTTTGGTGAAAACCGCATCTAAATTGATTAAGAAATCGCGGAGTTACCCCTATTTAAAGCTTCCCTAAGTTTCTTCTAACAAGTGGCGCCTAATAGATATGTTGAGGAGATTCCAGTCCGGTGCAGGTGCACTGACATTGACCCAGTTTTATGAATCGCCAAGATGGCCGCTGACATAATAACCAATCAGATGCATCAACGCGGTTAATAACCATTAAACTTGCATTTCTAAGTTAGTCACTCGCGATGCCATGGTAGGATGTACTTCGTCGCATCAAATTTTGGGTTATTATTACGTAAAACCAGTATCTATTAATTTAAAAGTACCTATGATGTTTTGTTAGCAACAAATGTTTAGTAAAACAAGAAAATTGTTTTAAATTTAATATTTTAAAATAAAATCTACACTAATACACGATACCTACAATATTTACCGTAGATAAAACGTGAAACAATTATTTTAGAAAATTGTAATTCTTAACTAATTTTCTTTGAAAAGTATATAGTTGAAATTAGATAAAAGCTAAATGGATTAAATACGCAGAAGATCACATCTGAAACGTTACGTTAAAGAATTTTAAAAATGCTCAAAATCATCGGTATTAGTTAAAGGTTTTGCCTTTGGGAAACAGTCTTACTTTGGTAGTTCTGTTTGGAATAAAAAGAAAATATGTTTACGCTTGGTATTCTGCTTATCAGGTTGAAATTACTCATTAAAGAAGTATTTGCTATTATTATTAAACTATAAAAAATGAAAATTAAAAAGTACTCATTGCCTTTACTCTGTAAATAAGTTGTTACTTATAATGGTAAACAGGATAGAAACCTGACCCAGACTTTTAAATATGCATTTCACGCATTAGTTACATTTATTTTTACATTATCTCCTGTTACAGCTTTTATGCTTTTTCTAAAATTTATAATTAGGTAGGTATTAAGAGTAGCTAAACAAGGACGATTGTTTTTGTACTGGATAGATAATAATATACGTATAATTAGCATTTTTAATTTTCTTCCATTGTTTTTTACATACAACTTGCTTTCTACTAGGCCTTTTCAATTTAAAACAGTAATTGTAATGTTAGATACCTATAGTTCTTAAGATCTTCTTTTCTCTGTAGCAAACTCAATACTTGATGAATAAAAATAGAAAGAAAATTAATATTTTAATTTTGAGTGGTATTGACCCTGTGGCTTGAAAACCTAAATAAATATGTATTTATAAAGTGCCTTTTCAAGCTGCTTAATTGTATACCGATCACGAATAGCTATTATTTTGCTGTTCGATGTCTTATATTTTATTTACCAATTCTTTTCGTTTTAAATCAGATCCGAGGTCACTCACGCACTGGAAGCGAAACCAAGGAATTTCGCGAAGCAACTAAAAAGGATGCGTTGATGCACTTGCAGAAGGAATTGGAAAAGCTTTTGGCCACTGCTAGTCCTTCCAGAAAAGACTATGTTAGGAAAGAATTTGAAGGATTTACATCTCTTTTTAGGAGATTTTTAGCTGAAGAAGGACCTTCAGTAGATTGGAATAAAATAGAAAAACTGCCAACAAATGCAATCAGAAACTACGAAGAATTGGCCACACCAACCGCAGAAAATATTCACAAAATGCTACAAAAGCTCGTAGTGGTTAAGCTTAATGGTGGTTTGGGAACATCCATGGGTTGTCGCGGTCCAAAATCAGTTATTCCTGTTAGAAACGATTTAACCTTTTTAGATCTTACAGTTCAACAGATCGAAGTACTTATTCAATGAGACCCAAATTTAGTCACCCGACTTTTTTAACATTCTATTTTTACAGGAGTTAAACAAACAATACAAAGTAAATGTTCCGCTTGTGCTAATGAACTCTTTTAACACGGATGAGGATACTGAAAAAATTTTACGAAAGTACAACAACATCCAAATAGAAATCCACACCTTCAGTCAATCCTGCTTTCCAAGGATAAACAGAGACAGTTTCCTTCCTATCGCTAAAAACTGCAACATCGAAGAAGACATTGAGGCATGGTATCCACCAGGTCATGGTGATTTTTATGAGAGCTTTAAAAACTCGGGCTTGTTGAAAAAATTCATCGATACGGGTCGCGAATATTGCTTTATATCCAATATAGATAATTTGGGAGCTACCGTTGATTTAAAAATTCTCAATACTTTGATGAATCCTATCGATGATGTTCACGAATTTGTAATGGAAGTGACCGACAAGACTAGAGCTGATGTCAAAGGTGGTACCCTAATGCAATATGAAAACAAACTGAGACTTCTTGAAATTGCCCAAGTTCCAAATGATCATCTTGACGATTTTAAATCCATCAAAACATTCAAATATTTTAACACTAACAATATTTGGGTCAAACTCGATGGTAAGATTTTAATTCTTTATTACGATATAGACAAATTTTTGTAATACTTAATAGTGAATTGTTCTTATCATTTTGAGATTTCGTTTCGCAAAAATTTTCATTTTATTGGATTATTGATTACTTTTTTTATCTTAAAGTGGTGTCTGTGATTTTTAGCGATTGATAGGGTTATTGAAGAAAATATTCTGAATATGGAAATAATTATAAACAAAAAGGTAGTAAATGGGATCAACGTAGTTCAGTTGGAGACAGCTGTAGGAGCTGCAATGAAATGTTTTGAAAATGCAATTGGTATAAATGTTCCTAGAAGTCGTTTTTTGCCTGTGAAAAAAACATCCGACCTCCTACTTGTTATGAGCAATTTATACAATTTAAAGTTTGGTTCTTTACGAATGTCCCCACAAAGGATGTTTCCTGCTACACCTTTGGTCAAATTGGGAGACTCTCATTTTTCGAAAGTTAAGGAATTCTTATCACGATTTGCCAATATTCCGGATATCCTTGAATTGGATCATCTTACCGTATCAGGGGACGTTACTTTCGGAAAAAATGTTTCTCTAAAAGTACGTATTCTGTTAGTGCTAATTTTCCCTTGCACTATTTAATGAGAGAAAAGTAATAAAGAACATTAATGTTCCATAATAATTGTATTGAAACCGTTTTGGTAAATCACAAAACCAAAATAAGTTGCATCGTAAAAGCGAGTGGTCAATGTCAACTTTTATTTGCTGATAACTGCCATAGAAAGGCATCTAAATATCAAACTACATGATAGGCCAGTAAACCAAATTAATAAAAACATTAAGTTCTTGGTCAGTAAATCGAAACTACTCAAATTGGATCACGGTTTCGGAATCATATCTTCTTATCAGTACTCCATAAGCTACTAATACCAATTTGGATTAATTTCTGACCAAAAGCCTAATGGTTTTTACAAATTACATATTTAATTTAGTTTGGCAAACAGATATCTTGGTAAGGCTCGTGTGAAATATTTAAAATACTACAATTAGCAGTAAATACCAGTAGATTGCGATATACTGCCAATAAATTACATCTTTTATCATTAATCGTCACAAATAATTGAATTTCCTTCCCTAGGGTACGGTGATTATTATTGCTAATCATGGAGATCGAATTGATGTCCCATCTGGTGCTATTCTAGAAAACAAAATAGTTTCAGGAAACCTACGTATTTTGGATCATTAATGATACAACACATTTGCTTGCTAGTCATTTAAATATTTAATTGTAATTAAGTACAGCACCTTTTTGTGCGTACAATATATTATTTACAAAACTGCATGTCTTTAAAATTAAAATATTACTGTTTTAAACTTTACTAGAAGTTATTAAATAAATTGTCCTTTTCTAAATATATCACTCTTGTAAAATTTGTATGTTTGTTAGTTTACAATAGTTTTACTTGTAATGTTGCACAATATTTTTCAGATGTGACCGTACTATTAATAATATACAAAATATATTTTTTGAAAAACGATGTTTTTTCAATAATTGATAATAATTACTGTTTAACATAAAAACTGTAAAAGTTAAAAGGGAACAATATTAAAATATATTTGATTACTACTTCTCCATTTAAATTACACAACTTATATTGCTAATATAAGAAATATGATGCATTCATTACACTATAATTATATGCTATTTTACTAAAGCGGCAGCATTTGAATGCCCATTTCATTCTTTAAGAAATTTCCTATTTGCCTTATCACTAATAGCTTCAAAGAAGGTTCATTAAGTATAAGTAGAGTAAGTTTAACACCATCTTCTATAGTCACATCACTCAATGCTAATTCCAATGATCTTATGAATTTTTCTCTTTGGGTAGGAGTCATATCATGACGTATAATGTCAACGACGGATTTGTATTTGCCTTGGCCTTGTACAGCTCCAATTATGGAACCCAAAATCCCCCCTATAATGTTTATATTATTAATGCTTATAAAAATTACTTACAGAGAATACTCACCACATGCAAGACCTGGTGGCCCACCCAGAAGACCTCCAGTTAGAGCGCATATTCCTGCAATGCAAGCACCCTTGACAGATTCTTTCACAGTTACTGTTAAATTTTCTTGAGCACATAGCTCTTCCACTGCAGTCATCAATTCCTCACTGTTAATAGGCATTATAATACCACACGGAGAAATCTCAGCTGGACAATAATAGCAAGTATGTGTAATTATTAATTATAAAAAATGAGGATATTATTAGAATCTGATGGCGTATGATTGAAATCATAGCATTTAAAAGCACAAAGGTTATACCTATATGTTGCTTTAGCATTTATCAGTCTGATACAACCGTCATTCTTATTCTCATTAATTTTTATGCACCGTCTTAAGGAGAACACATTAAAAATTAATGTGCATTGCTTGATACTACCCTAATGTTAGATTTAGGTATATTTCACTAATTAATTGTTTTTATTTTGACTTGACATTTCAATAGGTTATGTTATGTTAACCTACAAAATACAATAATATAAACATAACCTAATTTAACTTGTAAAGTGTAGGTAAAGCCATAATTAATCATAATTTTAATTAAGGCATGCTGACACTATGCAAAAAAACATTATTTAATCCGCAAGTGTATTATTGTGTTGCCTTAATACGTAAGCTACCAAAAAGGCATTATTATGATAGCAAAGTGGAACCATTTGAAAATGATGCCATCGATGAGTTTACCACACAGTTAGTGCAACGAAGAGCTCAAAAATGGGTTGCCTTCACTAAAAGAAAAGCAATTTCTGGGAAACACATCCTTTTGCATAAAGTACCTGAAGTTAATATTGAGAATTTAAATGTACAAGATATTGACTCTCTGTTTATAAATGCATTGGATGACGATGATGAACTAACTCTCAAAAAAGTGCTAGAACAAAGTATAGCACTTAGAAAACTTCCTTCTTTAAATGTCCTTTTACGACTTTTAACTTCACTTGCTCAAAAAGGCGATGTAACAGCTATTGAGAGTATACGGGATATCTATCGCATTGTTGACTCTTCTGTATTTAAAGAAAACTCCGAATTTACTCATTTCTTGGCAGAAGCAGTATGGATTAATGGGAATATAATTGAAGCAATTAATTTAATCGAAGATGTCTACAGAAAAAATATATATTTACGGCGTAGAATAAGAATAATGCTGAAATATTTAATACATGATGGAGTTTTAAATCAAAGTGAAGCTGTTCTTCATAATGTAATCAAGTTTTGTGAAAGAATATCTGTAGAATTCCGTGACTATTATCCCTTGGTGCTGGTCTGGGAAAATTGTATACTAAGTGACTGGTTTAGTGACCAGTGTATTGCTGTGGAGTTGCTTAAAAAACATGAAAAACTGTGCGAAATTGTGACCAATTTACTCTCATTCGTTGTAATGAGTGCCTTGCATAAAAACAATACAGACGTTGTATACAGACTGTTAGAATTGTTTCTACAAAAAAATAGAAATATGCAAACTTTAAGAATCCTTGTAACGCTTTTTGATTACAAAGGTAAGCATTAATAAATATCTACATTTGTAGAACTACTATAACTTACACAATTCCTTTGCAGTTTGTCAAAGAGACTTTCGAGGTTGTTCAGAAATAATAAAATGGTGCCAGGAGAACAACTTTATTCTTCCATCAGTACAACAAGAGAAATTTATAAATTTATTGTTGAAATATGGCATTAAAGCTCACTCTACTGAAAACACTACAAAACAAATGTTGAATTCACTTCCTATTCTTAAGTTTTGAAATATTTATAAATAGGTTCAATATTAATTAAATACAAAGGAATAAATAAAGTAATGCATTTTAAAAAAATGCGATTTATTGTTTTTATACAAGAGAAAGATTTATTGCTTGCATGTCGTTTTTGATATAGGCTGATATTTTAATGTATTATTTTATCGTATTAATAAAATGACTATTAATTTAATTAATTTATTTCTTATTAACGTTAAGAAGCATTAAATTTATTTAATTTAAGTGAAAACCGCATCTCAATAGGCTAATGAATAACTCAATTACCCCCAATTAACATTAAAGCTTTTTTCAATGAAAAATAAGTGGCGCTTAACACTGTTGCAGGTGCAGTGACCTTGACCTAATTTAAATCGAAAAAGTGATGGCCGCCGACGCAACAACCAATGAAATGCATCGAGTAAGGTAATAGTAGTTACACTTCCATTCTTAAGCTAGTCACCCTCGATGCATTGAGGGGTGTACTTCGTTGCGTTAAACTGTAGGTTATAAATACGTAAAACATTCTAATTATTATTTTTTTCATTAAACTACGCTGTTTCGTTAGTAGTAAATATTGGAAAACATCTAAAAAGAATTATAATATGTCTGCAGATACTGCATACGTTTATAGTTTCTTAACCAATCACCTGTTTGCACTTTTTCTCTTTAAACGCAACAATTAATTATAAAATTATAAATGAATGAAAAATGCTAAATGTATGTCGTTTCTATAATATTGGAATCGTTATTTTCATGGATGTAACCCAAGTTTGTTTCTCCATTTTGGGACATTTCATTTTTCTTTTGTGCTAGTTTGTACATGAACCTGCAAAAAAGTAATTACCTATTCATTGATTAATAAATTGCGAACCATTACAATTTCAAAATTATTTGCTGTGAACATTCTGTTTTTTATTTGTGATTTTATATTAAGTAGATAAATGAATTATGAATTATTAAACCCTACAGGGCCAAGATCAAATCAAAGAAAATTTTAATCTTTTGTAACAAGATCAAATACCAATAATTAACATTTTACTGCAATTAACAACAACAAAGTAGATTAGCTGAATTCGGTTATAAAATTAAAAAAAGTTCAGTTTTCATGTCAAAAAAGGCCTTCCTTCTTTGAATGTTGAAATATGACTGGCCTGAATTATAATTTATTGCAATCTGATTTATTTAATTACTTTATAAGTATACGTACGCTAATATTCCAGACCCAATAAAATGTAACGCGGCTCCAACCAAAAAGAAAGCACTGGGAAATACCTCGATTGTGTTGTTATAAACTCCTGTATTGTAAATGGGTGTGAATACAGCTGGGGCAATTGCTTCTGTTACAGCAAAAAGAGATTGAGCTTTGCCCAAATCGTCGGCATTCACTATTTTTGTAGCTTGAGATCGTATAGCTATACTTGAAATTGCAGTTACAATACTAACAACGGTCCCTATGCGAAAAATTAAAATAAATATGCAGTCGCAACTCTCCCTTCATTGAGAAGGAAATTATCGAAAACATTTAGATACTATACGTATTAAATTTTAAACTTACCTATATACAGTCCTGTTGGTTTTAAGTATAAAGCAAATATAATATTACAAAGGACTTTATCCAAGAAAGATATAACAGCAATCAATAGATCGCTTAATTTCAAATAAGTGGATAATAACGGAATTGAAATGGCAGTTCCTGAAAATAATACGATAAATTGGTTTTCAACGTAGCATTAGTAGGTATTGTTTATTTACGTACCAATTAAATGTACTACTGTGTTAATAGTACCAAATAATGAATATTCCACAGGGCCCCATTTATAAACTGTTACCGTAAACAAGTAGAATACACTAAGTTCACCTAAAAGATCCACAAAAAATAAATATGTTCAAGTACGTACTATAGTTTTTTTTGTTTTTGTTTTTATTTAATTTCCTTCTCTAATTGAAACGATTGTAAATTGACTACGTATTTTCATAATAATAAAAAAAATGCTATACAGGTTTTAGTTATTCATCATGTAAGGTGTAATTGAATTTTTGAATGCCTTATGTATACTTTATTACCTAACAAGCCTTGATTTATGTGCAATATTAATTATCATTACATATTGCATGGGATCGAACGATAAATATAATGAGTAGTTTATGCGAAAATTCAAAATTTAGTTTAATTGACTGATGTAAATGGTTTTCTTTCAATTAGATTTGGCAATAGCGGAAAAGAATACGACGACCTTGTTAAGCATTGTCTTATCTATTTATTCTTGGCACAAAGTCAGAATATAGTAGAAGCATTGTAAGAGATTTATTGTCCGACAGAAGTTTGATGTATCGTTATAATAAATATATCGTTGCGTGGTTAATGTGTGTCTACTTTGTAATAAATTCGCATGTAAAGTGTTGATATCGGGGAAAAGTGCTTTCCAATTGAAATTAATTTGAACAGAACATTATCTATTTATAAAATTGAAAGCAAAGATAAATGAACGAAAAATCTGCTAGAAAAGATGGCGACGCTGGTAATACAGGACAAAGGATCGTCGGTCTTCATCATCCTTTGTTGTCAATTACTTACCATTTCTGAATGTTATAAGGTAGGTGATTTATTATCTATAAATTATTTTATTAAATCGAATTTATTTTTAATGTGTAAAATATTAATTGAGATCGCTCCCTAAAATTGTCCGAATGATAAGTCCTGGTATCATAAAATTTGCCCGTAGGTATATACATTGCGATTTTTCTCAGTAAATATGCCTAGTTTCATAATAATTTAGGAGCCATATTCTTCCCTGTATTAAAGGAGACACCGTAACATAAAATTTAAATAATGTAGACAAAGAAAGTGTTATTGTGGTGAGTAAGCTTTGAGAAAATTCTGGTGTAAATGTTTCTCATATATCCTGAGGGTTTTGCCTCACTTTAGGGATTATTTTAAAAATAATGTTCTGGAAAATTTTTGGTTTTTCGCTAAGAATTTTAAAACCGACGCAATAAAATTGGAACATTGTATTGTACCTAAATCAATTAGAGATGTAGCATTTATAATGTTTTTTAAAAAGGTGGGCCAACTGCTAACTAAAATAGAATTAAGGGGTTTATATTTTTCGGCTACTCCCTAAACTACCCTTTTCAAATACAAGTTGACCAGCTGTATCATTTTTAGCCAGGCAGTTCTTATATAGCATTTAGCAACAACATAAAAGACGTATTATTTTAAAATATTTGATACGTATGTAGCTATACAATGCTACAGTTACCCTTACCTTGACTAACGCCTGCCCAAATGAACAAATTAATCATGAGCAAAACTATTAGCAGTCTTTTGTTACCCTTTTTTTTCTTCACTAAAACATTGAACGTTTCTATGGCATGCTTAGGGTCAAATACATCCCTAATTAGGGCTTTCTTTTCTACTACACCAACCGGTTGTTTGGGTTCTTTTATAAAAAATATCCCATACAGTAATCCGATTGCAAACAAAACGGCAGCGATTAATAATATCCAAAGGTAACCGATCACCGTAAACAGTTTTCCACTGAAAGATTGTACAATAGGTGAAGATAGTGATAAAAGAAACTGAACAATTCCAACACGTAAAGTTCTCATCTCCACTGTACTCACGTCTGCTATATAAGCGAAAGCAGACATTATAAGCATCGAAGGTCCTCCGAAAAATGAAGGGATAACTGTTTGGGAAATCCCCTGAGCTTCTAGAGGCCACGTATGCATAAATATCACGCACAACATACATCCCAGAACGGCAAGAAACTCCCCAATTACGGGTAACAGCAAAAATGGTTTCCTTATCTTATGACGATCACTGTAGGAACCCAAGAAGAGCACTAATATAACCGGCATCACATATTGCAACGGTTGTTGCCACGAATGCATGTTAGCGATTCTTATTTGAATTTTTATTGATTCGTTAATATAAATTGTATCCTCTTTGTAAACGATGTCATCGCAAATTTTGTCGTCATAACCCTCATTTACCCTGCACGCTTTTTCGAATTCTAATACAAGGAGGGCAGGAGTACAAAGGACTGTTGCCATTGCATAACATACTACAAGAGGTTCAACTGTTATTATTTCTCTTACGTAGTTCATCCTTTCTTTCATTGTCATCTCTTTAAAGGCTTTTTTTGGCGTTGAAGAGCTTTTAAAAGCTCCATTTTTGTGTTCCTCTAATTCTAGCGTTGAAGTCGTATCCATGGTGACTTGTTTTGGTGTGGGAAGCTTTTCAACCTTCCCACTTTTCTGGGAATTAGTTTCTACCGATGAATTTGACGTTGAACCTTCATCGTTCCTTTCACTTGTTTTAGAAGTTGTAGGATCCATTTCAAAGCAGTTTAATTAAACATTGGGCTGCACTACAAGAATTCAATAGCAATAGTTGCATTGTAAAACAAACAATCTTTAAAGAATGTTGCAGTGAAACTAAATTTAAATCCGGTGATTAGAAAATTGTGGAATTTTATAACTTAAAGGCATGAAAAGATGAGAACCTGTTTCGACTGTGACCTCCACAGCATCCGCGTTCGGATTTCCTTGTCTTTCACTAGTTACCTACTACTTATTAAGTAACATTAAAAAGACTGTTATGAAATAATTTGCATGTTGACTTCTGATAGAAATTACCAACTGGTCGTATTGTAATCTTAATATAATTAATTGAGTTTATGTTGTTAGGTCGTTATTTTATTTTGAAATAGTGACCCGCCCCAGCTTCGCATGGGTGCAATGCTGATACTAAATATATTTTTGTTTTGTTTAGATTATTATCGAAAAGGGGAAATCTACAAAAGATGCCCCGTGAACATACTAAATATACTACAGAATGTTTATATACAACATTCACAGTTTTTTTGTCATTAGACAATACAAACCGGCCTCCCGGCCGGTACCGCCGCAACCGCTATGTCCCTGCATTTTAAATCTGTAATATCTTCGAAAATATTCATTTAAATTACATGCTGTAAAGGGCCATATTGATCTATATTAAATGCACAATGTATTTAAAAGTACTTAAAAGTATTGCTTAAAATCGCTTCGTAAATAAGCCATTATTTCTCGTAAAAAGTAAAGGATAAAAAATGGTTATTGTGGGTTATCCCTAAGAGATAGACATATACCATCCCGCACTTTTTTGTAGACCCTTTTAAGATGTACAATATTGTAGTACATTATTTTGATCTATCTCGTAGGGTTCAGCCAGTGTTTGCAATGTAAGTGCAAAAAATGTGTTTATTTACGACATCACATTAGAAACCTCTAAAATTACCAGTGTTTCCCTACTTTATTATGCATGTATTATACATATAAACCTTCCTCTTAAATCACTCTATTTTTTAAAAAAAACCGCATCAAAATCCGTTGCGTAGTTTTAAAGATTTAAGCATACGTAGGGACAGACAGCGGGAAAACGACTTTGTTTTATACTATGTAGTGATTATGGAGGGCATATTTTGCATGTGGTACCTAAAAGTATTTTCATTATAATGATAGACTACCTTATTTTGAATTATTTGATAAGAAAGCATCGTTAAAAGTGTTTTTATTGGTCGCTGAATATTGTATTTTTCTAAAACAATCGCACCGGTCCTGTGCATGAAAGCGATCCGACCTCGTGCAATTATTTGATCTCCATCTCTACAGCTTTAACCAGTTAATTGACACCCTTAATATAGAAAGTTAGGTGTTAGCGCACAATCAAACATGAAAATGAAGAAAATGTTTGTATGTCCGAAAGTTCACTGTTTCGATAAAAACGTAGTCGNTTATTAAAATTGAAGTTTTTTTATTATTAATTTTCACATATTGCACATTGGGTTTTACTTCACTTTGATTAATTTCATGCAGACGAAACCAGTTAAAATGATTAGGTACGATGCAAATAGTAACTTTAATTATTATATAATGTCATGGACATCTTGAAAATTGTTGCTTAAGCACTAGGTTGTTTTTATTCTCGCTTTTATATGAAAACAGAATAACTTTAGAATCTATTATCTTAATGTCAGGAAAATGTTAAAAGAAAATACAGACGATACAAAAAAATCTTTATTTCCAAAAAAGGCGTATTTAATACTGAAGTAGGATTGGAAAATATGATATTGAAAAGGTGATAAGTGAAATAACAACAATAAATGATTAATTTCAAGCTTTCACGATTGCTTTTCCCACGTTTCCGCCGTTTAGCAAATCAATAAGAGCAGGGAGCAGATTTTCAAATCCTTCAGTTACAGTTTCACGATATTTTAACTTTCCTTCCTTAATCCATTGTAAATTCTGATTAATTCCTTCCATCCACCTATCAATCCACCTGAATACGTAATATCCTTCTAGTTTTAGTTGCTTGAGAATTAAAAATCCTTGAATCATAGTAGCTGTAAAACAAGAAAATTCAGAAATCAAATTTTATAATCATCTTAACAGAATTAATTCAACTAATATTAAGATTATAATGAGTAAAGTAAGATATTCCTAAATTCTAATTGTAGACTATTTAATATAGCAGTTTTAATCTTTGAATAATTTATTAATTACTAAATAATATTTTTCCTACTGCACGGTAGAGAATGAATTAATCTTTTGCAATTGCTTTTGTTGATGTTTTTCTATAATTAATTATTTATACGAATGATTGCAAAAATTAACTTACAATTTATGCTTTTATTAATTAATTAATCAGTTATTATATCATTTATTTACCTTTTGGCATATTGGTAATGTCACTATTATAAGATGTTATAGCACCACATACTGCAATACGCCCAAAACTGTTCATTTGACTTATGACAATGCTACTGATTTCCCCTCCGACCTAAAAATAAATATTTATTGTACTAAAATTATTGTAATACTGAATATATCGATAGATAATACATTATCAAAATAGCAATCGATTCCATTAGGAGCGGCTGCTTTAAGGTTTTCTAGTAGTCCTGGTTTCTTGTAGTTGATAAAACTATCGAAACCAAGTTCTTCGGTCAGCCACTTTCCTTTTTCGTCTGATCCTGCAATGCCGATTACTCTACATTTCTTGATTTTGGCAATTTGGCCAACATGACTTCCAATAGCTCCTGCAGCCGCTGTCACAACAACAGTTTCTCCTTCTTTCGGCTTACAAAGCTCAAGAAATCCAAAATATGCAGTGTTTCTGTAGAAAACAACAATCAATTTTTGGGTACTTCGCATCCCCTACGAGTACAAAAGGACTCATAAATTTCTAGGTGTCTTTTACGTTTTGCATACGAGAACATAGTAAACGACACTATAATTAAATACAACTACCAAAACTAAGCATCCATCTTTATTTAACCCAAATCCAAAGTTTCAATGAGAATGAATATTCGAATAATAGAACTAAACCGAGAAAATTTCGAAGGCAATTATCTCAACAAGTCGAAAATTTTCCGTTGGTATGCAGAATTCAAATGTGGACGACAGGTACATCAAAAGCGGTAATCACGCAGGAAAACGTCGAGGATGCTGGGGTCAGTTGATGTACGAAATTCTGGACCGCTTCAACGGCAAAAATTAAAGATGTCAACAGTATTATCAGTAGTGACGAATAGTGGATTTATTTATGTGAACTGGAAAATAAACCTCCAGTCGTCTATTTGGGTATTTCAAGGCGAAGAAGAAGAACTAACAGAAGTCATCCGCTTTGAATGTGTGTCAAAAAAGACGGTTACTACATTTGTCTCAAAAGCAGATCATATCAAAGAATTGGTACTAACGATTGGTATACAATGATTTGCTACAAGTCATCGCTGAGCTTCGAAAAACCAACCCCCAACGACGAAACATCTTCCACCAAAACAATGCAAGTTCGCACCCAGTCCACAATAAGACAATTGAATTTTTGACGTAACAAAGCGTTGAAATGGAAGACGATCTTCCGTCCCAATGATTTTTTATATCTTTCCGAAAATCATGAGCAGAATATGCGGTCGAAGGCCCGAGTCACAAGACGAAGTAGTCGACGTCTTCAAGGACGTCGATCATTTTGACTATACCAAAAAACGAGTAGAATAACCGCTTCCAGAACTGCTTCGAATGCATTCAAAAATGCATTGATCTTCGTTAAGAATATTTTGAAAAATAATGAAGTGTTTAAAAGCTGTCGACTGTTTTATTTCAGTTCTATATGGAAGACTTACAAAAACAGTTATCGTATTAAGTGAAAACCTCTTACACATGATCAAATTGTAAGTACAAAGTTGTTTTCCCTGAATTAAGAACTTTCTGACAATAATGTCCGTGGATAGAGAAAGTTAGAAATGAGGAAATAATAGGAAAAGAGAGGGCACTATGATGGAAGTAAAAAAAAAATAGACGAGATAAATTGGCAGGACACCTTCTCAGCCATGATATAAAGATATATTGGAAGTAGAAACATAAATTAAGAAGGGTAGAAGAAGACCTAGATTAAATTACTGTTCGCAAAAGGTTAAGAATACAGGTTGCTCTAGTGTTAGAGAAAAGCGAAGATTTACTTAGGATAGGAAAGAGTGGCAGTGCGTGTCCAACTAGTCTTAGGACTGACGACCTTATAACGACGATGACGTTACATAAATCTTGTACAACTAGTTTTCGTTATATAGATGAAACCTGATTTTTCTGATGTAAAATAGCCGTTCTTGAATCTCCTTGATTTTTAGAAATGGGTAGAAGTTGTTACAATTTTTTTTTATGTAGATTCAGGTGACTGAGCAACCGAAATTTCTCAAATTGAAACAATAATTGAGGCCTTAAAATAACACTACTATTTGACAATTTTTAAAAAACTGAATTAGTTTTCATTTAACAAGTTCGTCGTTGTGTAAGTGGTGGGTCAATTATTATTACTCACACAGGTACAACACAATGTTTGCTGCTTAAATATTATTATATTTACCCTGGCATTCCTAACATACCCAGCCCCAATGACAAGGGAAGATTACCGAAATCAGGGAGAAGGTATTCTTGCTCTTTATAGCCCAGGGCATCTTCTTCCAATTGCTTAGGGCCTATCGTGTGGGTTCTCCAACCGTAAGCGCCGTAAATGTATTTTCCTTCAGGATATTTAGAATTTTTGCTCTTAATAATTCTGCAATAATTGCAATGTGGACATTATAGTTTTATTTCTGAAATAGAACGAAATGTAATGCGTACTTAGCCACTTGATTTCCCAGCATGGTTGATCCTAAAGGCTGTAAGGGATTATAGGCACGCAAAAAGGGGTCAACGCTAAAATATACTGCTTCTGATAAAAATTCTAGAATAAAAAATGCATTTCAGTTATCTTTGCCTTGAATTCAACGCACGATAAAAGTAAAAATAGAATAATTTGTCTTAACTACGATCAGATATTAATTGTAATGATTTTATCGATCGAATTTGAATAACTTTATGACTGAATGTGTATTTTTATTTTATTTATTTATTTGGTTAACAGACTTCAGGCCGTTTTAAATAACATAAATATAACATATGTATATTACTATTAGAAATGGTATAATTTCCANTTGTTTACAAATAAGACACGACTAATTTAGATAATTAAAATCCTTTTAATAATAAGCAATTCATTCAACTGATTCATATTGTATTATTATTTCTTGTGTTAATTCCTAATACATTTCAGTCGTTTATGGAATACTTACCATTTCACATGTGTATTTTTATTTTATTTATTTATTTGGTTAACAGACTTCAGGCCGTTTTAAATAACATAAATATAACATATGTATATTACTATTAGAAATGGTATAATTTCCAAAATAAAGTAAAAAAATTGGGGAAAAACGGTATGTAGAAAATCAACAGTATTAAAACAAATCTAACTTATCATAATGACTTTTCTTAAGCCGTATATGAAGAAAATTTCGTGTTTCTTAAGTAATCACGAATAAAACCGCGAATGTCGTTAAACAATACTTACGTCCTTCTTTTAGGGGCGGCAGTTCTTCTTCGACCAACTTCAGATCGTCTGCCTTGGGGAGGCCTTTAAAATGCCTAGACAATATGTATTTACGCGCCAAAACCATAATTAACTTTTTATAACACTCAACAAAACTAAATGTACAATAACCAGAAATGTAATAACATATATAGTATTTTTTTATCGTATATGTTTTTGATACCGCCGGTATTTTGTCAAATCATCCAGATAGGGGCATACACAAATCACTGTACTTATAGTGGTTGAAGCAAATTGAAAAATCACCTTTATTTAAACTTGTTTAAATAAACGAACAAAAGTAATTTACTTATCGCGAAGCAACAACTGGATCGTAACAAATATAGATAATAAACATATAATACTTGATGACACTTCTTAAATACAGATTTGCAAGGTGAACAAGGTCATCATAAGAGTCGAGTCATTGCTGCTCGTTGATGCGTAGAAGTAGCAGTGGGGAATATAAAAATACTAAGTTAATGACTAAATAAAAGTGGAATCATTTTCGGGCCCCATCCAAATGTATATATATATATATATATATAGAGGGTGTGTCCCAAGCAAGCGGGTTTCTTCAATAACTGCTTTATAGTTGAAGATATTAGAAAAAGGTTTCTCACAAAAGTGCTACCATATAAGTATCTTCATATCCGAAAATTATTTTCGATTATACAGAGTGTCCCATTTTTTCTGGAGGCTCCATAACTTCATTTTTTCAAATGGAATGCTCCATTTATTGTTGTATTTTTGAATTGCTCGTTAAATTTAAATACGACTTTGTTAACCATATAAAATGCATCAATTTTGCACTAAATCAATAAATAGGCGATTGCAGTACTTTGCGCCATTTTGAATATCTCCGAAACGAAAGCACACAGAGGTATGCTATTTTCACACATATCTTGTGGAAGAAATGGCCTATTATTTCCACTATTAACGCAAAAATGTTCTTCTCAAATTCATTGAAATCTACCATAACTCTAGCATAACTATTTTTTTTTTAATGGAATGCTATATTGTTTATCAGCTCATCATGTGGAAAATTTTATTTCCTTTTGTCCAATATAAGGATGTTACTAATACCAATTTATATCAGGATATCAAGTATACCTTGTTCGGCGATTCGTTTTTATCCACTTTTATTTCCTACGAATATCAATCGCGTGTGCTTGATTAAGTGCTAAGTAATGTTTCATTTTATACATTGTTAATTTCTGGACTGTCTAGCTATTATTTTGAGTAAAGTTAAAACGTTAGGTACAAATATTCATTTCCTTCCATACTGACAGACTTAGAGTACTTTCTAAGTGCAGATTTCACTGTTCCGCTAGTAACAATAAAATACTGTAGTACCATTACATTTGTTTGGGTATCGCTGAGCATACACTTAAGATGCCATGAGAGGATTTCGTCTGCATTCCCCGAGGACAAAAACCATGTCTATCTTTTCATCTTGACTGAAAGCGCAAGATTAGACAATTCAGAAATTAACAATGTATAAAACGAAACGTTACTTAGCACTTTATCAAGCACACGGAATTGACGTTCGTAGGAAACAAAGGTGGATAAAAGAGAATCGTCGACCAAGGTATACCTGATATTCTGATATAAATTGGTATTATAAAAAAGTTTAATTTTCTCAAAAAGTGTTAGTCGTAGATAGTAACATCCTTATATTGGACGAAAGGAAATAAAATTTTGCACATGATGAGCTGACAAAAAATATGGCATTCCATTAAAAAAAAATTTAATTATGCCAGTTCGAAACAATTTATCGTGAATGTGGTAGGTTTCAATGAATTTGAAAAGNCCTGATATTCTGATATAAATTGGTATTATAAAAAAGTTTAATTTTCTCAAAAAGTATTAGTCGTAGATAGTAACATCCTTATATTGGACGAAAGGAAAAAAAAATTCCACATGATGAGCTAACAAAAAATATGGCATTCCATTTAAAAAACAGTTATGCTAGTTCGAAATTACTTATCATACATTTCATATGATCAAAATCCCAATATGCACTTTCTACATTTGGAAATGTGTTTTCAAGTTTTGTTTTGTAATTAATGTTTGATTTCTTCAAAATAGATATATTTATCGGTAATAAATATTGGTTTTCGGTTGGTGGAAGGATCTGGTTGAAAGTAGGGGAACACCCGTCAATCGCGGGGTCTTCGGCAAGAAAAGAGGAGCCTGAATATAAGTCAAATAAATGCAATTTAAAGTTTTCGAAGAATGTTACACTTTATTGAAATGATTTTGAGAGTTTGGTTAGTTTAGGACAGTTTTCAGAGAAGCAAATAATATTTACAGATAGAGGAGACTGCAGAAATATATTCCAATTGTATATTTTCAATCGTATACATAAAAGAAAATTAATTCCGTCAAAGAAATGTGTAATTTTTATGTTCGGTTAACAATTTACCCTACCTGTATACAGCTCGTACATAAAGTTTGTACCCACTTGTTAAATTAGAAGGTTAATAACAAAATAGTGCGTAGTTGCAAAAAAATACTTTAAGGAAAACAAATTACATCCTTTTCTTTGTTTTGGTTTACTCCAATGGCATTCCAATTAAGTACGATGAGAAAGTACTACCTACTCGATGCTTATCAACTTATTACTAGATTATTTTTACCTTTATAATTGTTATATTCGAGTGATTTTTATTTGTTTACAAATAAGACACGACTAATTTAGATAATTAAAATCCTTTTAATAATAAGCAATTCATTCAACTGATTCATATTGTATTATTTCTTGTGTTAATTCCTAATACATTTCAGTCGTTTATGGAATACTTACCATTTCACATTAATTAAAACAAAAGCCATATAAAATATAATCAAAAGCTATCTTTCGGTTTCTTTTTGCGAAGATGGAGATTATAAAATTAGGCATTTATATCTTGTACCACCTATCGACAACAAACTAAAATTATACCTATACTAACTGAATGTTTAATTTACAAACTTATTATAATTTCATGGTAATATATTCAGTATTAATTGTGTTATTTTGGCATTCGTGTGTGCGTGTCAAAAATTTCTAAACTTTTTCGAAATTTAGATAATAAATAAAATAATGGTTAATTACGGTTTTTTTATCAAACATTTTTCATACGATACTTCAGATTATTTTTTTACGAATCGTGTCGCATAATTAACAAAACAAAATATACCTATGGATTAAAAGGATTTTCCATAAAAAAAAAGTAGAGAATGATGTAAGATTTATTAAAACAACTTATAATGGAATGTAACAGACAAATTGTTAATGAAGGACTATTATTTGAGAAGAGTTAAATTTTTTATTATGTATTAGTTTCAAACTTTCACAATTGCTTTTCCAGTATTTCCACCCTGTAAAATATCAACAAGGGCATTAAGCATATTCTCAAATCCTTCTGTAACGGTCTCTCTGTATTTCAATTTTCCTTCTTTAATCCATTGCAAATTTTGATTGATCCCATCCATCCAACGGTTCATCCATCGTGTTACCAGAAATCCTTCCATCCGCAGCTCTTTAAATACCAGCGCGGTTTGAATTATTGTTGCTAAAATTTATTTAGAAACATAAACTTTTTTTCGAAGACAATTATTTTTCAGTCTCCACAATGAATGCATTTGCAATAATATCGACTGTAAAAACCTAAATTTTATTATCAATGAATCCATGTGCTTTATTAAACTACTAAGTTGTACCCGTGCCTTTGCCGGCGTTGATGTCTTAAATACGTGTCAAGGATCATTAACGATCATATAACACTAATTTTTTTTATCCCTCTAGAACAGTATTTTTTCTGGATAAAAAGTACCCTATGTCCTTTTCTGTACCCCTAACAATGTGTGTTCAAAATTTCATGAAAGGCTTTATTAGTGGCTTTGCTCGCGAAGATGTTCTAAATACGTTTCAAAGAACATTATCGATCATATAACACTAATTCTTTTTTTCCCTCTAAAACAGTATTTTTTCTGGATAAAAAGTACCCTATGTCCTTTTAAGTACCCTTAATAATGTGATTACAAAATTTAATAATAGGTTTTATTAGTGACTTTGTTCGCGAAGATGTTCTAAATACGTGTCAAGGATCATTAACGATCATATAACACTAATTTTTTTTATCCCTCTAGAACAGTATTTTGTCTGGATAAAAAGTACCCTATATCCTTTTCTGTACCCCTGACAATGTGTGTATAAAATTTCATGATCATCGATTGAGTAGTTAAGACGTGAAACGGTAGCAAGCAAACAAACTCGCATACACATTTATAGTATTAGTTACAATTAATCTACCTTTAGGTAAATGTAAGTAGTCATCATTGTAAGAAGCGATAGCTCCGCATACTGATATCCTTCCATACTTATTCATTTGATGGATAACATTACTACTGATTTCCCCTCCAACCTAAAACAAAAAATAGAGATAAGCTCTTACTTGGTTAGTCCATAAGCTATAGGAGTGTATGGTTATTATTCTGATAGAAAATTATCCTTCCACTAAAATAATAAACGCGTTAATGAAGATTTTCGCTATAGTGTAATTATTTTCATTCGCTAATTGCAGTACTAATTGTAGTATTTTTCTTTTTCCATGACGGAAAATTTATTGATTGGTTTTTGATTATTTATTAGTACCTACTTACATTATCAAAATAGCAATCGATTCCATTTGGGGCAGCTTCTTTTAATTTTTGGGCTACATTGCTAGTTTTGTAATTAATAAAATGATCAAAACCAAGTTCGTCAGTTAGCCACTTTCCTTTCTCATCTGATCCTGCTATGCCTATCACTTTACACTTTTTGATTTTGGCAATCTGCCCAACTATACTTCCCACTGCTCCAGCTGCTCCTGATACCACCACCGTTTCTCCCTCTTTAGGCTTGCACAAATCCAGGAATCCAAAGTATGCTGTATTTCTAAAAAATTTTGTTGTTTACCCCTTTTTCTGCAACCCGTTGAAATATAGAAGAACTATTCTTACCCTGGCATCCCCAAAACACCCAACGCTAAGGAGTAGGGATGACCTGCGAAGTCAGGAAGACGATACTGCCTAGGCATCCCTTCATCTCCTTCAATTGGACCAACTGTGTGAGTTCTCCATCCGTAACTGCCAAAAATGTATGCGCCCACAGGGAATTCTGGATTTTTGCTCTCTAAAATTCTGTTAATATATTTTTCCTTTTAAAGAATTACAGGCAGGAATTGTTTGTTTAAAATTCATCAAACTATTTTTAATAGTGTTGAGTAATAGAACACAATCTTCTATATATAAACCAACATTTCTATAAAATAACCGGTCGTAAAATTTTATTTAAATGTGAGATCACAGATTATAGCTTTATAACTGAAAACTTTTTAAAGGAATTAAATACTCTAAATAATATGGAAATATATACAGCTTAGAATACAGAATTTGCAGATTTGTGACATCATAAGAAAAACTTTCTTGAAAATATGTAGGGTATCTGTATATATTGTTGCAAAATATGGGCGTAAAACGTAGACGATAAGCGCTACTGAAAAGGATAAGTCAAAATATTATGTAAGATGTTATAGCAGGACATTCAAAATACCATGGATGGAATTGGTTAAAAAAGTACGTGTTCAACCAGTCTTTTATACTATAATGATCGTGATGTTGAAAGTTTATAAACAGTTACCATCATCACTATCATAAGGTCGTCAGTCCTAAGACTGGTTGGACACGCACCTCCACTCTTTCCTATCCTGAGCTAATCAGATAGAAATAAGCATTTCCCTAAAACTAGAACAACCCACATCCTTAACTATTTGCGAACAGTAATCTAATCTAGGTCTACCTCTACCCCACCTCTCCCGTTTCTGCCTCTAATATGTCTCTGACTAGACCTTCATGCCTGAGAAGGTGTCCTACTAACCTATCTCGTCTATTTGTTGACTTCCATAGAGTCCTCTGTTCTCCTATTATTTCTAATACTTCTTCATTTCTAACCTTCTCTATCTACTGTATCCTCATCGTTCGCCTGTAGCACTACACATTTCGAACGCTTCCAACCTTTTCTTTTCCGCCGCGCCCACTGTCCAAGCTTCGCACCCGCACAGCGCCGTGCTCCAAACATACTCCTTTAACTATCTTTTTCATTTTTTCTAAATTAACCGTTCGCGAGCATAGAAGTGACTTCTTTTTATTGAAGGCGACTCGATCCATAATAAACCAATATTTGTTTTCATAAATAGTTTCCTTTAATGTAGAAAATTTCAAAGAAAAAGACATTTTACGCTTACAATTAGATGCGCTTACGCGTAGAAAACAACCACTACGAAAGCTAAACATTTACCAACATTCATAAAGCAAAATAGTTATTAAATGTTGTTGTTGCATGATTGTTAGTTTATAACGTACTTACTTGGCAACTTGTCCTCCTATTATTGAAGATCCAATTTGAAATCTTGGTTCGTAAGCTCGCATATAAGGATCAACGCTTAAATAGACAGCCTCAGCTAAAAATTCTGAAAAGGATTCAATTTGATAGTTGTTTCGTTAAAAATTGAATACAAAGCCATGAAACAGTATTACGTATTAATTTCAATACACCTAAGAAGGGTAGATCTAATTCGCGCACGAAAGTATCTGACGAGTAACCATTCAAATTTTGAAAGCTTATCTTTAATTTAATGATGTATTAATTAGCAAATATGTTTGGGTTACATTAAGTGTTTGTAACTTCAAGATTAAATACGCAACACTAAACGAAAAAGTATTACTTTCGGTGGATTTATGAGTTAAAAACCATTTTAAATAACTTTAATATATTGTTTTCTTAGAACAAACAGTTTTAGTATTTGAATTTTTCCGTTTGGTTTACTAGATTTTAACACTAAATATAAAAAAACTTTACCACTGTTTGAAGAAATGGATCTACAAGAAATGTCTTCGAAATAAGTGTTCTTTGTACTTATCTGGATAACCTATGGTTGAAATATAGAGACAAATTAATTGTTTTCGATATTTTGGTAAAAAAAGTTCATGGCGGTCACACCCCCATAAAAAGTTATGGGGTTGCAAAGTTCTGTAATTTTCCAATTTTCATACACTATAAAGTCTAATAAAATTGAATACTTATTATTAGCAATTATCCAACATTTATAATATTGATAATAATAATATTTAAATAATTCTTTATATAAACTATTGATTGGTCCTATGTAGTTTTCATTGTTTTCATTTCCGAATATTCTTTGAAAATTAATATACAAATTACATTTACATACACACAAGCATATGAAAATAAGCAAAATAATAAACTTTGAGACCCCATAACTTTTCATGGGGGTGAGACCGCCGCAAAGTTTTTATGGTGCAGTGGTGGGGGAGACCTCCTCTTTCAATTCCCCCGGGAATAATCTAGACCGTTACCGGTATTTTTACTTCTTTCAAGAACCTTGCAATACTTTCTTGCCAACAGGTCAATTTGTGCGTTGTAGGAAAGATATGTTATTAAGTTTTCTTTCTCACAATTATTGATACTGTTTTCTTTACAAAAACGTGTCAGATTAAATGAGCAAGACAAGACGAAGTTTACAACAATAAGACCAATACCATCTTGGTGCTGGACCTGCTTTGCTTATCACTAGTTCGATTCTATTGTTTCTACCTAATCGCAAGCATTAATTTCAAATGTTTATATTTAGTTCGTTGGTTTGTAGGTCTGCGTTTTTGTATGGTTTTCTAGATAAACTAGAAAGTAGATTAACCGTATTCAAGTTCTTTGCTCTGTCTACGTTATTAGAAGTGAGTGAAATGTATGCCCTAAGAAATAGTTTAATGGTAACTAGGGTGAGTCTACTTTTGGTAATTTTAATTAATAAACTTACCGCCAGTTTTAAGAGGTGGCAATTCCTCTTCTACAATTTTTACATCTTCTTTCTTCGGCAATCCTTTGAAATGTTGAACTAAGATGAACTTTCTTGCTTTCATCATTGTAAATATGCTTTAAGTTATGCGCTAACTCAGTGTAATAAATTATTTACATCACAGTGAATATTTTTGTTTTAAGGCTTTAATCGTGAATAAATTTTTATCAGTTACGTGCTAATCAAATTTACGCGTGTAACTTTGAATCTTTCCTGTCTCAAGTGTACTTACAGCGTGACTCGACAAAAATGCGTGAACTTTGTACCTTTACATAAATACGAAATATATTTGAAGTTAAATGCATGGGAATGTATGATTGAATTTTAAAAAAGTAACATCAAGTTTATCACCTGTATTTTGAAAATTAATTATCGTTTAGTGGGTCGTTTGCACTTTGAAATTTGATATGGGAGGTCTTAACTTTGTATTATTAACTTCATTCGTCGTTCGGCTATATTCGTGACCTTTCCGATTGTGTCGGCTAGATTTTTGTAAACCGATGATAAAAACTATCAATACGATGCATAAGCCATCCATTTTCAATGTGGAACATTATCCTATCAGAAAATAAAATTCGATATTTATTAATTTTCTTCAAACCTATTTTAGTTTATTTCATCCCAGTTGACATGAAAGTAAATGACATAATTTTACAATTATGTTACTACTTTGAAGACGATATCACCGTAGACTATATATGTTATCAGAGTAAGCGTGGAAATAAGTCCAAAACAAATAATTATTTTATCGACACTGATATCATTTGATTTCTAAGTACCGTAGGACTACCGCTGTTACGATAACGTAATTACTTTTTTTGTAGTCGATAACTGTTGCCTATTTTACTGATAACTATTTTATACCATCATAATTAACTACATACCTACTAAAATTGAAAGGAAATATAATTTTTACGTTTAACAATTGTACATTTGTTGTATTTTATAAATTTATTAAAAGTCACGATGACATAAAATATAAATATAGAATTGATCAAGAATAGGAGTTTTCAAAAGCGAGGTCACATATTTCATTAAATCGCAGAGCGTGCGTACCTGCCTGTACGTATTTGTAGAGATCATCAGCTTTATATTCTGACTACAACGTACTTTTTAATTGCTTGGTTATTACATAAGCAACTTTAATGGGTTTAAGTTTCAGTTTTGTTAATGCTTGCTTTGGTAATTCTAACACTCAGCATAGGAGTTATAATTGTAACTCTTTTTTCACAGAAGATAATATATGTTATATGTATATATATATATATACCCTAGACAAAAATTTTCAGTCTCTCTCCAGTCTCTCAGAGTCTTTCAGCGTCTCTGAGAGCGTCTCTCACAGTCTTTCACAGTCTCTCAGTTATTGCCTAGGTGTTTTTATGGATCTCTCACAGTCTCTGTATGAGAGACTCGAACGATAAAATTGTTAATTCAGAGATTCGAGTCTCTCACAGAGAGACTGAATGAATAAAACTGAAAAATTGAGAGACTCGAGTCTCTCGTAGAAAGACTGGGATCTCTGAAATATGTTGTTAAATGAAAAACTTAACCATGTCTATCGAGACACCACTTATTGAGAGATTCGAGTCTCTCGTTCAGGGATTCGAGTCTTTCGTTCAGGAACTGGATACGAAATGAGGATCTTTCTATGAGCGACTCGAGTCTCTCGTTCAGAGACTGGATACGAAATGAGGATCTTTCTATGAGCGACTCGAGTCTCTCGTTCAGAGACGCTAAATAGTTTTTTTGACAGTCTCTCTCAGCGACACCAGAGAGACTCGTTGAGAGACGGAGACTCGAGTCTCGCATTCAGAGACTCTAACAGACTGAACATTTTATCTTGGGTATATATATATGTACACGATTTAATTCCCACTGTGATTTACCACAATTATGTAAGTAAGCGTTTATAAAATTCGTATGTAGTCATCACAATTTATAATACCAAACAGGGAACTTGACAATAATTTTATATAGGAATAACCCCGTCTGTATGTATCTATTCAAATTAAAGACCCACTTCTGTTCAAAGTTTTTATATGTACCTGTACATGCTATTTAAAAAATTAATCAGAAAAGTCAGAAAGCATTATTCATGTAGCGTTCAAACAAACGCCATTATATTATTAACGTAGGTATTTAACTACATTAATTTAGTGCTTTATTAATATTTTAACCTTTAACTAATCAGCGAACGCATTTGCTATCCTTTACCATCCGAATACTCGCTCCCTTTATTTGAATGCCCGAACGACTGAAACCGACAGACAGAGCTAGTCGTGTCCGGAGCGAGGATGAAGTTTTGTCGTAGTCGTTCGGGAAATTGGAAAAATTATTGTTTTCTCTCAACAGAAGAAAAAAGATTAAGTGAGTAAATATGCTTTTTCTCGCTTATTTTTGTGTTTACATTCTACTTCGCAAGGTATTCTACAATTAACCTTTCTTTAACAGGGCTATCGTTCTCCATTATACTTGGTACAGAAGGGTGTTTCTGGCTAATACTTTTTTAAATAATCGTACCCAAATTTAGTTTGGTAGGTTGCTTCCATTTAGTCGTAATTTAACGAGCGCTTTTTTACTTGTACACTATTTTCTCTATTTTCACCAAAAATAATTCAGGAACGGATTTGTTTGAAATCGCAGTCGAAATCGAAGTCACCATTAAATTGTACCTACTTCTTTATATGGCTCACAAGTCGGCTACCATTCAACCAATTTCAAATTTAGATGCGCAACATTTTCCTCTTTGCAATAGCTCAAGCTCTCCGAAATCAAGTTTTTCCTGAGCAAGAATTTTTGCGCTACCTCTAATGGTTCGCCAGATGTTCTCCTAAACATTTAATTCTCGATTTTAAAAAATACCACTAGGCCAAAGCTGTCGACAGCTATAACTTTTAAACGAAATCTCGTAGGTGGGCGCTTTTGCTATCCGCGCAGAGCACAGGATCTCTAGAAAATTTTAATAACACTCCCATCGATGTCGGTCCATTCAATCGGAAGTAATGGGTCTTCCTGTGGACTCAGAAAAACGCTAAAAATGAAAATAGGGCAAAGTGCGTGAATTTGGTCGGCTCTAGCTCANAGAAAAACTTTCTTGAAAATATGTAGGGTATCTGTATATATTGTTGCAAAATATGGGCGTAAAACGTAGACGATAAGCGCTACTGAAAAGGATAAGTCAAAATATTATGTAAGATGTTATAGCAGGACATTCAAAATACCATGGATGGAATTGGTTAAAAAAGTACGTGTTCAACCAGTCTTTTATACTATAATGATCGTGATGTTGAAAGTTTATAAACAGTTACCATCATCACTATCATAAGGTCGTCAGTCCTAAGACTGGTTGGACACGCACCTCCACTCTTTCCTATCCTGAGCTAATCAGATAGAAATAAGCATTTCCCTAAAACTAGAACAACCCACATCCTTAACTATTTGCGAACAGTAATCTAATCTAGGTCTACCTCTACCCCACCTCTCCCGTTTCTGCCTCTAATATGTCTCTGACTAGACCTTCATGCCTGAGAAGGTGTCCTACTAACCTATCTCGTCTATTTGTTGACTTCCATAGAGTCCTCTGTTCTCCTATTATTTCTAATACTTCTTCATTTCTAACCTTCTCTATCTACTGTATCCTCATCGTTCGCCTGTAGCACTACACATTTCGAACGCTTCCAACCTTTTCTTTTCCGCCGCGCCCACTGTCCAAGCTTCGCACCCGCACAGCGCCGTGCTCCAAACATACTCCTTTAACTATCTTTTTCATTTTTTCTAAATTAACCGTTCGCGAGCATAGAAGTGACTTCTTTTTATTGAAGGCGACTCGATCCATAATAAACCAATATTTGTTTTCATAAATAGTTTCCTTTAATGTAGAAAATTTCAAAGAAAAAGACATTTTACGCTTACAATTAGATGCGCTTACGCGTAGAAAACAACCACTACGAAAGCTAAACATTTACCAACATTCATAAAGCAAAATAGTTATTAAATGTTGTTGTTGCATGATTGTTAGTTTATAACGTACTTACTTGGCAACTTGTCCTCCTATTATTGAAGATCCAATTTGAAATCTTGGTTCGTAAGCTCGCATATAAGGATCAACGCTTAAATAGACAGCCTCAGCTAAAAATTCTGAAAAGGATTCAATTTGATAGTTGTTTCGTTAAAAATTGAATACAAAGCCATGAAACAGTATTACGTATTAATTTCAATACACCTAAGAAGGGTAGATCTAATTCGCGCACGAAAGTATCTGACGAGTAACCATTCAAATTTTGAAAGCTTATCTTTAATTTAATGATGTATTAATTAGCAAATATGTTTGGGTTACATTAAGTGTTTGTAACTTCAAGATTAAATACGCAACACTAAACGAAAAAGTATTACTTTCGGTGGATTTATGAGTTAAAAACCATTTTAAATAACTTTAATATATTGTTTTCTTAGAACAAACAGTTTTAGTATTTGAATTTTTCCGTTTGGTTTACTAGATTTTAACACTAAATATAAAAAAACTTTACCACTGTTTGAAGAAATGGATCTACAAGAAATGTCTTCGAAATAAGTGTTCTTTGTACTTATCTGGATAACCTATGGTTGAAATATAGAGACAAATTAATTGTTTTCGATATTTTGGTAAAAAAAGTTCATGGCGGTCACACCCCCATAAAAAGTTATGGGGTTGCAAAGTTCTGTAATTTTCCAATTTTCATACACTATAAAGTCTAATAAAATTTAATAGATTACTTATTATTACTAATAATCCAACATTTATAATATTGATAAAATTAGTAAAGAGCCAAAAAAGCCAATAAAAAAAAATTTTTTAATAGTTGTGTCAAAAGCGATATCTACATTTCTCAATTTCTTTGTAATAAGATACAAATATTTAAATAATTTTTTATATAAATTATTGATTGTTTCTATGTAGTTTTCATTGTTTTCATTTTCGAATATTCTTTGAAAATTAATATACAAATTACATTTACATACACACAAGCATATGAAAATAAGCAAAATAATAAACTTTGAGACCCCATAACTTTTCATGGGGGTGAGACCGCCGCAAAGTTTTTATGGTGCAGTGGTGGGGGAGACCTCCTCTTTCAATTCCCCCGGGAATAATCTAGACCGTTACCGGTATTTTTACTTCTTTCAAGAACCTTGCAATACTTTCTTGCCAACAGGTCAATTTGTGCGTTGTAGGAAAGATATGTTATTAAGTTTTCTTTCTCACAATTATTGATACTGTTTTCTTTACAAAAACGTGTCAGATTAAATGAGCAAGACAAGACGAAGTTTACAACAATAAGACCAATACCATCTTGGTGCTGGACCTGCTTTGCTTATCACTAGTTCGATTCTATTGTTTCTACCTAATCGCAAGCATTAATTTCAAATGTTTATATTTAGTTCGTTGGTTTGTAGGTCTGCGTTTTTGTATGGTTTTCTAGATAAACTAGAAAGTAGATTAACCGTATTCAAGTTCTTTGCTCTGTCTACGTTATTAGAAGTGAGTGAAATGTATGCCCTAAGAAATAGTTTAATGGTAACTAGGGTGAGTCTACTTTTGGTAATTTTAATTAATAAACTTACCGCCAGTTTTAAGAGGTGGCAATTCCTCTTCTACAATTTTTACATCTTCTTTCTTCGGCAATCCTTTGAAATGTTGAACTAAGATGAACTTTCTTGCTTTCATCATTGTAAATATGCTTTAAGTTATGCGCTAACTCAGTGTAATAAATTATTTACATCACAGTGAATATTTTTGTTTTAAGGCTTTAATCGTGAATAAATTTTTATCAGTTACGTGCTAATCAAATTTACGCGTGTAACTTTGAATCTTTCCTGTCTCAAGTGTACTTACAGCGTGACTCGACAAAAATGCGTGAACTTTGTACCTTTACATAAATACGAAATATATTTGAAGTTAAATGCATGGGAATGTATGATTGAATTTTAAAAAAGTAACATCAAGTTTATCACCTGTATTTTGAAAATTAATTATCGTTTAGTGGGTCGTTTGCACTTTGAAATTTGATATGGGAGGTCTTAACTTTGTATTATTAACTTCATTCGTCGTTCGGCTATATTCGTGACCTTTCCGATTGTGTCGGCTAGATTTTTGTAAACCGATGATAAAAACTATCAATACGATGCATAAGCCATCCATTTTCAATGTGGAACATTATCCTATCAGAAAATAAAATTCGATATTTATTAATTTTCTTCAAACCTATTTTAGTTTATTTCATCCCAGTTGACATGAAAGTAAATGACATAATTTTACAATTATGTTACTACTTTGAAGACGATATCACCGTAGACTATATATGTTATCAGAGTAAGCGTGGAAATAAGTCCAAAACAAATAATTATTTTATCGACACTGATATCATTTGATTTCTAAGTACCGTAGGACTACCGCTGTTACGATAACGTAATTACTTTTTTTGTAGTCGATAACTGTTGCCTATTTTACTGATAACTATTTTATACCATCATAATTAACTACATACCTACTAAAATTGAAAGGAAATATAATTTTTACGTTTAACAATTGTACATTTGTTGTATTTTATAAATTTATTAAAAGTCACGATGACATAAAATATAAATATAGAATTGATCAAGAATAGGAGTTTTCAAAAGCGAGGTCACATATTTCATTAAATCGCAGAGCGTGCGTACCTGCCTGTACGTATTTGTAGAGATCATCAGCTTTATATTCTGACTACAACGTACTTTTTAATTGCTTGGTTATTACATAAGCAACTTTAATGGGTTTAAGTTTCAGTTTTGTTAATGCTTGCTTTGGTAATTCTAACACTCAGCATAGGAGTTATAATTGTAACTCTTTTTTCACAGAAGATAATATATGTTATATGTATATATATATATATACCCTAGACAAAAATTTTCAGTCTCTCTCCAGTCTCTCAGAGTCTTTCAGCGTC